GACCTTGTTTATGTTATACTATTTGATTGTTCTCACTGGTAGATCATTCTTATCTTGACCTTGTCATACGATTTGATTGTTCTTTCTGGTCCAGATATGACAGGCGAGAGTGAGGTCAACACCACTGCGCAACTCTTCCACACTTTAATCCAAGTCAGCGGGCAAGTCACTATTTCATCTTCTTTCTGGTAAATCATTCCACTGAGATTTCTTATATTTATATATATTTGTTGGAACTATTACATCATGCTGTCATATGGAACTTACCTTGATTAGTGTCTGGTATTTCACAGTTCACTTTCTTTAAGTTTCTGTGTGTATTTGTGTTCGATCAAATTCCTGTTAATACTGTGTTTGACTGATCTGGTAATCATATCCAAAAATAGTGAAAATATAGGGGTGACTGCAGTCAAGCTAATACAAGGAATTTCAGGAAAATTTGACTTAAAAGCTTAACCAAATGGGGAAGCAGAAAAACGTGCACAAAACAACACAACTTACGTTTCTATAAGGAATTCCAGGACAATTGGACTAAAAACTATGAAGAAGAAAAAAAGACTAGAAATGTTATTTTATGTGTGTTGTTTTGTGCATGTTTTTCTGCTTCCCCCATTTGGTTAAGCTTTTTAGTCAAATTTTCCTGGAATTCTTTAATCATATCCAGTCTGGCGCTATCAAGTGGTGAGGAAGTTTGGCCAAGTCATGCCCAGAAATATCTTTGGAAATTCTACGGAGCCACCATTTGAGTCGCCTCATCCCTGAAGTTATGTTGGAGCTGAGGAGACTGCTTAGACCGATAGGAGCCAACTTCTCAACAGTAAATTACTTCAGAGTGTCTTATTATTATTTGGGAAAACCCTAAAAAAGACATGTGACACCATCATCTCGTGACAGCCAGGTGATGATCTGTGGTGATTTCATAGTCCGAGGAAGACAGTAGGGAAACATCCGCACTAATCTACAAGGTGAGGACCTGGAGGAGGCACTGGTACATACTGATGTTCTATGTCTGAACGGTTGGCTCTGTTGCTAAGTCGATGCGAACACTTCGTAATGCCGGGGTGTCAGGTTCGATTCCAGCTGCGGGCAATGCGCCTTGCATTGGTTTCAACAGTGGTATCAAGAAAGCCGACCGTCCAGAAAGCAGTGGCAAACTACCGGACATAAATTTGCCTAGAGAAACCACACAACAGCCAGGGGCTGCTGGGGTTGGTTCTGCAACGTCCTGTAAAGGATACGCAACTAACCTCATGTCTAAACAAAGGAAGACTAGCCCTTCACCCTGGTGACACCTTCACCCTGGTGATACCTTCACCCTGGTGATACCTTCACCCTGGTGACACCTTCACCCTGGTGATACCTTTACCCTGGTGACACCTTCACCCTGGTGACACCTTCACCCTGGTGATAGTGTTATTGACTTGGCTTTTGTTACTCTAACTCTGGCATCCATTATGTCAATGGGACGTCCTTGGCTACCATGTCAGGAAACACATGTCATGTGTAGTGCCTATAAAGAAATGCTAACTACTGACCCACCTACTACAAAGAACTATTATTTATGACAATACTGGCAATGACATCATCATCTTCTGCCTTTCTATCCCCCAATGGAGCATAGGCCCTCAACCAACTCACGCCAAGTCGTTCAATCTTTCGCCATTGTATGGAGCTCTTCCCATCTTTCTAGCTTCATTCTCCAGCTCTCTTCTCCATGTGTTTTTTGACCTTCCTTTATTCTTAAGCCCCTGTGGGTTCCAATGCACAAACACATTCTAGTTATGCTGTTCTCCTGTTTTCTCAGTGTGTGTCCTATCCAACGCTAGCGTCTTTTCCTCACCTCTTGGTCCACTGGAGCCTGTTTAGTTCTGTCCCAAAGCTCTACATTAGTTATTCTATCATACCATTTAATTCCTTCTATTCTGCGCAGACACAAGTTAATGAATGTTTGTAGCTTATTAGTCATTGCCTTGGTTGTGACATCACTAGCAGAATTCCCCATGTGGGTTTTAAGACCCTTTTATAGGAAAAACAAGAATAGACCCACAGCCAACCCAAAAGAATGTCGTAAGAGTCGACTAACTGGGAGCTCCCTTTAAAGTCTGAGTGCATCTGCCTGAGAGGAAAGAACCAGCAGTCTGCATACAAATGAGTCAGATCTGTAGAGCGGATGCACACACAACACTCCATTTCTGGAACAGGACTGCAGTCCAGAAGTGGATTAACAGCCAGAACTTTCCGCCAGAGTTTACAGCTGGTGAACGCGAAGAAGACTAGAAGAATCAGAAGAAAAGCTATCAGCAGATTGTGTTGAACCCACCAGATATTGAAATCACCTGTTATAAAAGCCACTTAGTACGAAAGTCAAACTTGGTAATTTTGGCCAGGAGTTTGGTTATGCTGTTATTAGCATGCTTTCACTTCCCAGGACTACACCTGGTACCCAATCAAAGCCAGGTCAACCTAGAAGGCTCTTCTAGCTGCTACATACTGGATGAGAAATAGTGGCTGGTATAGTGTTGACAATACCATTCATCGATAGTAAAATGTATACATTAGTTGCTTTTCAGGACGTTGCAGAACCAACCCCAGCACTTTCTAGCTGTTCTGGTTTTTCTAGGCAAATTTATGTCCAGTAGTTTGCCATTGCTTTCTGGACGGTCGGCTCTTGGTACCACTTTTAAAACCAGCGCAAGACAACCACCCGCAGCAGGTATCGAACCCCAAACTACGAAGCGCGTAGCAACACCTAAGCCACAGAAACAGACACATGGGGGGGGTGGGGGGAAGAACTGCTACCATATATCCAGTTAAAACAAAGGGTAATCCAAAGTATGAAAATGTGCTTGAGGTATCTGTTGTGGTCTCAACCTCACAGCAATTACATCCCACCATATCTGATCCGTTCCTCTGTCAGCCACTCAAAATACCAATCCCTGTCCCATGCGGCTGTCCTGGCTCCCATGCGTCTGTCCTGGCAAAATCCAACAATTGCACACATTATCTAATGTATGAAGCAGCCATCTGAGATGCCAACACTAACAGTCCATCCCTAGAACTGCAGTTCATCACTGACAAAAGCAGCAGTCACGACAAACTTGCAAGTCTGTGCTTGAGACCACAGACTTAAAGCCACACGCAACAGGTTTGAAAGCACTGGCTGTTTAAAAAAAAAAAAAACAGACCAGTTTTATTATGGAGTGAATGCAAGAAAGGGAAGAAATAAATGGACAACTGTTAAATCAACCGTTATAAGGCACAGAAAATGGATGTATACTGGGAACATCTGTAGGAAACGTGGTTAGAAACTGTAGGAAAAGTGGTTAGAAATTGCCAGAGTGAAACAGAAATAGGTAAACAAATGGACTGAGGAAACATATACAAAAAAACCGTATAAGGAATGCTGAAGAAAGGCAATAGTGCTAGACTGCATTCTATCTGATTCTGAAAAGATTGGAACAATAGAATGGAGGAATAGATTCTAAGCACTAGCTATGATATAAATGGCACTACAGGATATTGGCAATCAACTGCAAACTATTGACTAATTACTATGTCATCGAATTTAAAAAATATTTTACATTACAATGGAGAAGCATGAACCCGAGAATGGTTTGAAAACAATTGTGTTTGAGATGCCATTTATTGTAAACAGTCATTATAAAACAAATTAAAAGATGTATACAAAATGCCAGTACATAATGCAACTTAAATAAAATCAGGGACGCTAAAATATTAAATTACTGCCAGGACGAGCAGTGTCAGAGTTTTGGAAGTTCAACTGTTGAGGTGCGACACACTAGACCAGGATGACATGGGTGCTCATAATCTCTGATCTTCATAACAATACATGGAAGTATCACAACTTATATCAAAATACAAAATGCGAATTCCTGGTCACAAAGCACAGCAATCGAACTAGGGAAGAAGATCCTCCATGCCTTCCTTCTCAAGCAGGAGCATGAACTAACATTTCCATGAAACTCCCATGACAGCAGTCTCCAACCAGGGAGATCCTCCCTCCATCCCTTCTCAAGCAGGAGCATGAACTAACATTTCCCTGAAACTCCCATGACAGCAGTCTCCAACCAGGGAGATTCTCCATCCCTTCTCAAGCAGGAGCATGAACTAACATTTCCCTGAAACTCCCATGACAGCAGTCTCCAACCAGGGAGATTCTCCCTCCCTTCTCAAGCAGGAGCATGAACTAACATTTACCTGAAACTCCCATGACAGCAGTCTCCAACCAGGGAGATCCTCCATCCCTTCTCAAGCAGAAGCCTGAACTAACATTTCCCTGAAACTCCCATGACAGCAGTCTGCAACCAGGGAAATCCTCCCTTCTCAAGCAGGAGCCTGAACTAACATTTCCCTGAAACTCCCATGACAGCAGTCTGCAACCAGGGAGATGCTCCCTCCTCAAGCAGGAGCCTGAACTAACATTTCCCTGAGACTCCCATGACAGCAGTCTGCAACCAGGGAGATCCTCCCTCCTCAAGCAGGAGCCTGAACTAACATTTCCCTGAGACTCCCATGACAGCAGTCTGCAACCAGGGAGATGCTCCCTCCTCAAGCAGGAGCCTGAACTAACATTTCCCTGAAACTCCCATGACAGCAGTCTGCAACCAGGGAGATGCTCCCTCCTCAAGCAGGAGCCTGAACTAACATTTCCCTGAAACTCCCATGACAGCAGTCTGCAACCAGGGAGATCCTCCCTCCTCAAGCAGGAGCCTGAACTAACATTTCCCTGAGGCTCCCAAAACAACAATCTTTAACCAGGGAGATCCTCCCTTCTCAAGGAGAAACTAAAAGTGTAAAATGAGGTGAGGTATCCATGTCGTTTAAAAAGACAAAACACCACCAGGCATCTCTGACAGAGTATGGCAAATTTAATAAAACTTTAAAACCACTAACATTTCTTTCTTTCTCACTTTTGGCTTATTTAACACATTTCAAAAAATACACAAGCAAATTAAAAATTAACATAAAATGTGAACCATCTAAGCACATTGTGTAAACATGTCTAGTTCCGGAGGCGCATGGATCCATTCTCCGATGCTACATTCCAAACAGTGGTACCTGAACTCTCTTTTTGCTGCCTGATAAGCTTGTGCCATAGTCTTGACCTGGTTTGGAGACTTGTGGTCGAAGATCTTCTGTCTGTAGCCTCCATCCTGGGCACAGATGTCGCGGAACCAAGTGAAATGCTGGCTAGCTTTGCACTGCCGACTGACCAGTTGATCAGAGACTTTAAACGGTGACCTGGGTGTATATAACAAGTGGTCACTTTTAAAACACCACAGCAATCAGACAACGTAAAAAATGGAACAGTTTTGATTGATTAACTAGAACCAAAACTCAATGCCTCCATCAGGAAAACAAATGCTGCTTCCATAACACTGATTATGAATGCACGCACCCCATGATATTCCAGTTTGTGGTCCCACTTAACCATAAGTGATGCCAAATAAGTCAGCTGGCCTCTTTCAAAGCTTTGGTATCTGCCCAAAGCAACCTGCCATTTGTGATATTTATCTTTTAATATCTGAATATCAAGACAAACTGGTTTATGAACAAACTGCTTCTCTCAAAACTACACAATTTGGCCATATTAAATGACAATGGTTTTCAGAGGGTATAGTTCAGACAGGTAATGGTTTTGAGAGGGTATAGTTCAGACAGGTAATGGTTTTGAAAGGGTATAGTTCAGACAGGTAATGGTTTTGAGAGGGTATAGTTCAGACAGGTAATGGTTTTGAGAGGGTATAGTTCAGACAGGTAATGGTTTTGAGAGGGTATAGTTCAGACAGGTAATGGTTTTGAGAGGGTATAGTTCAGACAGGTAATGGTTTTGAGAGGGTATAGTTCAGACAGGTAATGGTTTTTGAGAGGGTATAGTTCAGACAGGTAATGGTTTTGAGAGGGTATAGTTCAGACAGGTAATGGTTTTGAGAGGGTATAGTTCAGACAGGTAATGGTTTTGAGAGGGTATAGTTCAGACAGGTAATGGTTTTGAGAGGGTATAGTTCGGACAGGTAATGGTTTTGAGAGGGTATAGTTCAGACAGGTAATGGTTTTGAGAGGGTATAGTTCAGACAGGTAATGGTTTTGAGAGGGTATAGTTCAGACAGGTAATGGTTTTGAGAGGGTATAGTTCAGACAGGTAATGTTTTTGAGAGGGTATAGTTCAGACAGGTAATGGTTTTGAGAGGGTATAGTTCAGACAGGTGTATATAGAGGCCAGGATAAACCAGCATGGTGGTGGACACACAACATCTAGTACACACTAGCATGGCAGGGCATGGGGTGGGACAGTTGGCAGGGCATGGGGTGGGACAGTTGGCAGGGCATGGGGTGGGACAGTTGGCAGGGCATGGGGTGGGACAGTTGGCAGGGCATGGGGTGGGACAGTTGGCAGGGCATGGGGTGGGACAGTTGGCAGGGCATGGGGTGGGACAGTTGGCAGGGCATGGGGTGGGACAGTTGGCAGGGCATGGGGTGGGACAGTTGGCAGGGAACCAAATGGCTTTCCAGTGTGAGAACTGGTGTTATGTCATCCTCTCCGTCTCCACTCCTCTGGGACTGAGCAGAGATCAGTGATAGCACAATCAAGCACATGCAATGACTGCTTCCAGCATCAGAATGGAGATAGTGCAGCTCTTCAAAGGTTATCTGAGGCTGTTAACAGGCATATAATCACCCCTAGTTCTGTATTCGCGCTTCAGAAAATCTAGTTTCAGGTGGCTACTACAGGTGATGTTTCCCATCTAGTTTAGAATTTCCCCAATCTGATTAAGACCACACTCCTTTCATTTTTTTTAAGGTCTACCGTGCACCAATTTTTAAATAGTCATACCGAAGAACTAATTTACATTTTTGAATCGCGAGAAAGAGGGGTTGTTGTAAATGCCATCATAGACTCCTTAAATTTGGTCCGCAGTCCTCATGTGATGCGACCACCACCAAATGGGAAAGACAAATCATAATCAGGCTGTTCACAAATCTAAACACAAATGGAGACCAAACAGGCAATCACTGTAGACAATTCTAGTTAATCAATCAGCTGTAAAAGATAAACAACAACAGTGTTCAATTTATTTTTTAAATCTGTTAGTGAAGTGTGAAAACACAGGCCTTTAGGCTATCAAATTTGCTTTTTTGACCAAGAAAATATTTAACTGGTCGCCTTTTGCGACTAATTTTTAAGAAGCTGCAGGACTTTTTTTCCCTCATTCTCATCTGCTCGGTTCACCAGCTTAAGTTCTGGTCGTCCATCCACTTCTGGACTTTCTTGTTCTAGATTAAGTTTTCTGAGCACAATGGTTTTATAGATCAGGCTTTTTGTATGCAAACTGTTGATCCTTTGCTTCTCAGAGCAGATGCACCTCCATTTAAAAGGGGACATGCCTAATTAGCTTTTATGTCATGCTTGCTAGGAAGACAGTGGGTCTATCCCCCCCCACCCCCCAACCGGGGCCCAGAAACTCATGGCTGAGAAGTTCTCACAGGTAGTTTTAAAAACAAAATGAACAGATGGCTCTATAACAGATTTTTAGAGTTGTATCCAAAACTCAGGCAATGTTTGCATTTTATTTCTGGACGCAAGACTGACAAAACAGTTAGCTTTTCCTTTTCTTGAGTGTGCATGATCTTATAACTTCCCAGAATGAATTATTAATCCAAAGGTTGCTTTTACAAGGATTCTCAGTTTTAAGGAAATCACCATTTTTCCAGCAAATGCTTTTAAATGCTGATTTAAGTTTAATAATTTCTTGTGGAAAAAACTGCAAAGTCGAAACACTTCTAAATCTGATTACATTAGGCAGACAATATGGTTGCCTACTGGCTGAAGAATAGTGACCTAAATTGTAAGTTTACTTCATTTTGTTCAATACCGTCTCTGATGAGTTCTTTAGAACTAAAAACTACTGGTTCAGTCCTAGAACTGTTTAAAGCAGTTGCTTAACAAGAAAAAAACCATATGAAAAATACTAAGTATAAAAATTTTATAAGACAACTGGGAATGCCAGATTAGCATTCTATAACCAAATGCAAAATTTTACAACATATTGTGCAATGTTTAGGATTCACGAGAACTAGTTTATCATGCATAACTTGCTGCTTGGGATCTTAAATAGGGAAGCTCAACTCCTTGCAAGAGGAGGAGTTAAACTAGCAACAGCTTGAAACAGAGTTTACCCTTTGTAGGACACTGCAGAACCAAAACTCAGCATTTTTTTGCAGTCACTTTTTTCTAGGCAAATTTGCGTGTAGTTTGCCCCTGCTTACCCAACGATGAACTCTATTCTCCTGTCAAAACTAATGCAAGGCAGTCTCGTGCCAAATCGCCTGCAACTGGGATCGAACCTGGCACCCCCGCATTACAAAGTGTGTTCACAATAGATTAGGCCACAGACTCCGACTTAAGAGTAAACCAATAATTTAACAGATCCTAATAATGAACAGTGACAAACTTTCAACAAAAACTTACAATATGTGACCACGCCCGGTCAGGCCATCGGTCAGCTCAATCTTCTTGTCATGAGAGTTAAAGTTAATGCTGTCCTGGGTAACCGCTATGTCCGGGCGGGTATTCCTCTTCATATCTTTCAGGACAAAGGAGAGAGCTGGGTGGTTGATGATGTAGGGCGGCGGAAGCTTATCTGCCAGGTCATTGTATACCCGGCAACATATAGCTCGGCTTAAGTGGCCATGGTCAGGGTTGTCATGGTAACCTAGAGATGTGCAGGAAACAAGATTTAACTTAAAACTGTCTTTGAAAGCTAAATAACCCTACATTGGTTCTGTGTACGAATTTTTGGAGGGGATGGGGGAGGGGGGGGGGGGGGGAGAGAACATACCCACTGCATCTTAACCACAGAAACAAAACAAACTTTTTTTTAAACCGGGTTTGTGATCTCAGAATTCTAGACAAAAATTCTTTACAGAAGTCAATAATAGCTCAGTGAAATGTCTATTTTAAAATGTTTTTCTTCCTCCCAAAACAATGATACATGAAGATAGTAATCAATAAACACAGAAACGTACCCGGGGACCTAAACATAAATATTTACTGATGACACTTGCTGTGACCCCGTGACCTATATCACTGAGGCTTATGGGATAAATTTGACAACTTGGCTGCTAAAAAGTAATGTCATATCCTGACCACTTAAACAGAGGCAGAAAAGTGACATTTATGGGAAACAGGACCCAAGTGGAAGTTGATTTTATGGCTTCTTAGAGACAAAAAAGTTAAATGTCTACAAGTGTAAAGCAAAAGAAACTAGTGGCTTGCTTAAAACCCAATGAGTTAACCCTTTCTGCCCCAATAAATGAATAAACGAAGAACTGACATCACCCCACTCAGGACATTCCCTTAAGTGCTCCGTCTCTTTCTTGAATACACAACAAAGAGTCATCATGCTAACATTATCATTTGCAAAATTATATTAAAAGACAGCCTATGTTTCTCCCTCAGTGTTGAATTTCTCCCAGAAGCTCCACTTATCCCCCAGCTGAATTGTCTTTCAATGTCTGCTCTATCACACTGTCCATTTATACAAGGAAGCCTTTGCCACATCTGCTTTATCATACAGTAGCTTAACACGCAGAGGAGCAACAGCAGCGAATCTATCAGCCTGCTCTTTACCCCATACACCCAAATATCCTGGACAGAAAATCCATGATATGCTCCTGGTCTTAGCCTTAAATGTTGCAAGCCACTTACAGGCCTTCAGTTTCTGTCCCAAACAATGCACTATGTTTTACATTTAGTCACAGCATTCTAAAGATATCTGGCCACCACTTTCTTTATCATCATTATGAAGCAAGTCCTTCGAAGAACATTGCTCTCATCACAGTCTGCATGGAAGAAACTAAAGTTTCTCACCAGCTTTCCTGCCGTGTGCACTTTCGCATTCAGGAAATTATTTCCTGTTCCCGTCTTCGTGCTGGTCAGCCCCTGCCTCTCCTTCCTGGTACTATGCTTTCTGCTATTAATTTTTTCAAATCTGCCATGATGCTTGATAAAGCCAAAATTCATTCTCTATACAAGGTGTAAATATTTGACCCATGTATTGTCTGGTAGGATTAAAACGATTACCAATAAAAACTTGTCAAATAGGATTATATAACACTACTATTTAGCAGATAATATCAGCGATGCATAAGTAATTACTTTAGCTCAGACCTTGAGGTGGAAATACAGATAGTGTTCTTTTTCATGAGAGGGAAAGAGGGAAAGAATAATCAGAGATTTGGAAGAAGCCAGGTAGTTAAGAGAGACCCGATGAAAGAAATATGAATTGTGCATAAGGAAGAAACAATATGAAGATTGTGGATAAGTAACAAAATATAAAAGAAGAAATAGGCTGTGGAGAGATAAATATAAAAGAGAATAAACAGATTATGGAGAGGTAACAAACATAAAAGACACAAAACAAAACAGAACAAACAGACTTAGAAATTAAAGAAACATAGAAGACACACAAAAAAGACTTTGAAGAGGTAACAGAAACAACAAAGACAGAAAAAACAGATTTTGGAGAGCTAACAGAAGCATTATCGACATAAGAAACAGATTTTGGAGAGCTAAAATAACTATAAAGAAAAGAGACATTTTTAAACCTTTGGCTGCTACATTTCCGGCCATAGTTGTCTGCCTGTGCTAAAAAAAGTTAGTTGCATATCCGTTACAGGAAGGATGTTGCAGAAGCAACCCCAGCATTTTTTGCCTGTTGCAGCTTTTCTAGACAAGTTGATGTCTAGTAGTCTGCCGCTTCTTTCTGAACGTCAGCTTCTTGATATCACTGACAAAACTGTGTCCCGACGGTCAGCTTCTTGATACCACTGACAAAACTGTGTCCCGACGGTCAGCTTTTTGATATCACTGACAAAACTGTGTCCCGACGGTCAGCTTCTTGATATCACTGACAAAACTGTGTCCCGACGGTCAGCTTCTTGATATCACTGACAAAACTGTCCCGACGGTCAGCTTCTTGATATCACTGACAAAACTGTGTCCCGACGGTCAGCTTCTTGATACCACTGACAAAACTGTGTCCCGACGGTCAGCTTCTTGATATCACTGACAAAACTGTGTCCCGACGGTCAGCTTCTTGATATCACTGACAAAACTGTCCTGACGGTCAGCTTCTTGATATCACTGACAAAACTGTGTCCCGACGGTCAGCTTCTTGATATCACTGACAAAACTGTGTCCCGACGGTCAGCTTCTTGATACCACTGACAAAACTGTCAAAAGTACACATTTCAAAGTCATCTTCGCTATCACTCCTTGATAAGAAACTCCATTAATTCTTTAACTTTAACAAACATTCTTGCCATTTTGTATTAACGAAATGTAGAATAATCCAAAACCATATATATACATATATATATATATATATATATATATATATATATGAGGGCAAAATTACAGATCACTGACCACGTTGCGATGGTAAACAAAGCAACACTATAATGTGGAATATTGCCCTTTGACCCCTGAGAAAACAGTTCATAAAAATCTAAGAAAAAAGTTTTTACGTCCATAGCACTGGGGGTCACGAAAAAATGTCCGTGTTTAGCAGCATACAGGAAAATGACAATTTAGGTCTATAGCAGCGAAAGGGTTAAAAGAATAATAATTAAAAGAGACCTAATAAAATGAATATAAAGGAGACAAATTATCAATTTCTTATACCGTAGACCTGACACTCATAAAAACTTCACCAAAGGCAAAAGAGAGAAGTAAAGGACTTTCAGTCATGTTAGGCATAATATGCTAGAAATTTATTTTACTGACACATCAGCACTTAGGGAGTGGGGCAGGATGTGGTCAGCGTCATGCCGCCCACCTTTACTTTCCAGGATTTTACCTGGTATCCATTTTAGGCAGGGCCAACCTGAAAGCCAAGATCTGTTCTTACAAAAACAAAACAAAAATTTGCTCCCTGGTCGGATTGGAATCCCTCACTATCATATCCCCAGGTGAACGACTAACCGCTAGTGGCTCCTAATAGAAGGGAGGAGGGTAGCATCAACAGGTGGACATTGGTGACAGACTGTGCGACCAGGGCTGGAAACTGAATGATCTCCTTGGAGGTCAGCTGACTGATTCACAAACTACACAACTTGCCTAACGACACAGAGCTCAAGTAGACGGGATCAATAATGTGGGTCAGAGCTGCACCCTGGAGTCCCAGAATATTCCATCGCAGCAATTTGTCAGACGATGACATCACCCGCATCTCATTGGCCATTTGGACAGCACTCAGTGATGTCTGAAGTGGTGTCTGGCTGGTCACTTCAATCACACCTAAACAGAAACAACATTTTTTTTTTTATTAAACAATCTAAAAAAAAAATGCTTACTGTAGGTTAAAACACTGAGAAAAAGCATGCACCAGTAGATAAAATTTAAAAAAAAAAACATGAAAGATCAGCAGATACCATAAAAGAATGTGCATTCAAGTTAACTCACATGTACGAAGCTTGGCCTCCGTGTTATGAAGCTTGTAAGGCACTTCCTTCTGGCAAAGTGTCCAGACGTGAATGATTAATGTTTCATATCTGCAAAAGGTCCCAAGTCGACCCTGTGTCGACTTATTGGAAAGTGCTTAACTAACAGTTCACATAGTCACATTGTACAACTAACATTGATAACAGTCAGCAGCCAACCACATCAACAATATGGGAAGAGTCATCTCTTTAATCGTGCATAGGTCTATTTATTGCGACGAAACAATGTGACAATATGGTTCAATTGGTGATTACAGAACTACTGTCCGTCTTATGTTCCCTGATACCCATTGGTTTACTTCCAAGGCGGTATACATAATACGTGACAAGAGACTGTCCCCGGCACACCAAGTCTCCTGACACAGTCCAATGCAATCATGAACACTGGATCATAAAGATGTTGGGCCCTCAACGCCTTGACCCACACGAAGAAGAAAGCACTCTATTAGAACTATATCCACAGGGCCCACACGAAGAAGAAAGCACTCTATTAGAACTATATCCACAGGGCCCACACGAAGAAGAAAGCACTCTATTAGAACTATATCCACAGGGCCCACACGAAGAAGAAAGCACTCTATTAGAACTATCCACAGGGCCCACACGAAGAAGAAAGCACTCTATTAGAACTATATCCACAGGGCCCACACGAAGAAGAAAGCACTCTATTAAAACTATATCCACAGGGCCCACATGAAGAAGAAAGCACTCTATTAGAACTATATCCACAGGGCCCATACGAAGAAGAAAGCACTCTATTAGAACTATATCCACAGGGCCCACACGAAGAAGAAAGCACTCTATTAGAACTATATCCACAGGGCCCACACGAAGAAGAAAGCACTCTATTAGAACTATCCACAGGGCCCACATGAAGAAGAAAGCACTCTATTAGAACTATATCCACAGGGCCCACACGAAGAAGAAAGCACTCTATTAGAACTATATCCACAGGACCCACACAGGGAAGAAAGCACTATTACAACTCTAACCACAGAACCCACACAGGAAAGAAAGCACTATTACAACTGTAACCACAGAACCCACACAGGAAAGAAAGCACTATTACAACTGTAACCACAGAACCCACACAGGAAAGAAAGCACTATTACAACTCTAACCGCAGAACCCACACAGGAAAGAAAGCACTCTGTTACAACTCTACTACCAACTCTCAGCCACCAATGCCACACAGTGACGGGGAAACAAAACATTCCAAAAGAAAGATTCATGAAAACAGCACTCGACAGACCAAGTAGAGAGATCAGAAATGAAACAAATATCAGGGGTATAGCAGTGCCAGATATAAGAAGAGCACGGATGAAATGGTTCTTAGCTGATGATAGTGAGTATAGCACAACAAGCAAAGCTGTACAGGGAATCAACAAAGAGTCTGAAAATGCAAATGTTTATACCACAACTAGATACCATAAGGTACAGGGGATTCCCGAGACTGAAATGTGTTTTGTGTATGGGCACACGGTAATCAACAAAACAAGATGAAATGGTGAAGAAACTAGCAACGGTAAAATAACATTAAGATAATGATTAAAAAAATTTTTTTTTTTTAAACAACAAAAAACAAAAACTAGAGACAGCAGTCAAGAAAGTGAAGATACAGGTAAAAAAAATTGAGACAATGAACAAGAAACTAGATGACAATGGTCAAAAACTGGAGGCAATGGTCAAGAAACTGGAGGCAATGGTCAAGAAACTGGAGGCAATGGTCAAGAAACTGGAGGCAATGGTCAAGAAACTGGAGGCAATGGTCAATAAACTGGAGGCAATGGTCAAGAAACTGGAGGCAATGGTCAAGAAACTGGAGGCAATGGTCAAGAAATTGGTAGCCATGATAAAGAATCCGTTGTCTGAAAAGGAAAGAAAAATGGAACAAAGAAATATAAAGAAAAAAAGGAGACCTTGCCACATTGTGTGGACACAAATTCACACCAGCCAATCGTGTGGATCTGATGACAAATTCTACACCTACCTTCTTCATTCTTACACCTCAGCTGCCCGTGCATGTCATCTGTAAACGTAGGGTAGTGAGCCCCAGCCTCTATTTCCTTCATTTGCTGCGGTGTGAAACTTGTCCTCCTGCAACAAGTCCCAGAGCTACAGTTGAGTTAACAGTACTTACTGCAGCTCTACATAGAAGTGATACAATAACAAAAGGACTCCTCTACAGTTGCCCCATACACAATCAATCACACCTAGAAGATGAACTGACACAAAAATTGGAACCCTTGTCTGTACTACAGGACCAGAATGAAGTGCCCAGACATCTTCAGAGTGACACACAACTAGGGACAATGAGCCACAATTCCTGGCACAACAAATAGTTTAAAACAAACTTGGTGCAAATAAAACCAAACCACACTTATAACCGAAACTGATTTCAGCAGGGTTGAATAAACATGGACGTTCTTTATTCCCCCCAACAACCTAACAACAACAGTAGCCCTTAAGCGGGTCCTTGGCTAAAGTACAGTGAGATAATTGACTATTGACGACTGATTTTTCTATTCTTTGACACAGCCAGTATGAGTAACATCAAAATTGGGGATCTCCGTGCCGGCTGTCAAGCTGTTTGCTTCACGCTCTAAAAGAGTTGTGGGTTCGTTCTACGATGGCGATGTTCAGTTCACAAGTGCAGTTTTTACGGAGATTCTAGGGATCATCAGCAGACAGGTACAGATCTGCAAACACATCTTGAAGACCAGGAGAAAGTACAGCAAAGTGCACTGGAGAAAATGACAATTGTTGAACAGAATGGATATACCAAGTCTACTTTCTTCACTCACTGGCCGTAAACTCCGGCATAAAGTTCTGGTTGTTCGTCCATCTCTGGACTTCAGTCTTGTTCCAAACCTGAGTGTTGCATGCACATCCTTTTCACAGATCTGACTTATTTGTATGCAGACTGTTGGTTCCTTGCCTCTCAGGTAGAGGCACTCTAACTTCAAAGGAAACTTCAATTAGCTGACTCTTATCGACATGCTTTTGGGTGGGCAGTGGGTATATTCTTGTGTTCCCCACAATGAGGCCTAGGAATCCACATGGAAATACCTTATTTACAATACTTAATGAATGCGAACAAGTCTCAACAGTGGTGCAAAAGGTTCTGGAAAAACTAAGCATTTTCATAGAGTGTGAAAATATTGAAATATTACGTCAAGAATAGTTAATAATAAGAGTACTTCAAGCTGACCTTAAAGTGTATCTATAATTCAGTCGCAAGCAAACAAGACTGCCAGAAATTTAGACACTGAATTTCAGTTGTTCAGCTACCTTGCTGATGTAATTATTTCTGTCCTAAGGAACGCATCACACGTTAATAGGTCCCTACCAAGAAGCCCAATGAACACAAGCTGTGCCAATTTTACATCTATCTTGGGCCTCTGATGCTAAACCCCCTGGGACTGAATGCTGAATCAAGAAAAAATATCACAGCACTCAGGACACCTCCCTTAAGCATTAGGTTGCTCCTGATGATGTCGCTCCTTCTCTTGTGTGGTCTTCCTCTTGCTCTGTGTCCTTTGTTATTTCTTCAGTGTGGCTCTATGTGGCAGTTGGTACCAGGGCATTCTCGTCAGGTGGCCAATTCATCTCATTTGTTGTTCTTTAATGAATTGTATAACTGGTTTCAGTCCAAGTCTTGTTCTAATTTCTTCATTCCTGATTGTATCTCTTCTTGTCACACCGGCAGTTCTCCTAAAACATATGTTACAATCTTCCGCTCATTAGTTGTAGGGGTCCATGTTTGGCACTGTTAGCACAATGTCAGCAACAACAAAAAACCTTATGAGAGTTGCTTTGGTTGACAGAGGTATCTTTCTATGCGTCAGAAGTGGTGTTAATTGTCCCATAACCTGATTTGCTTTCGCACATCATATGTTGATTCCTCTATCCATTCTTAAATCTGGAGTTAAAAATGACCCTAGATATTGAAATTCATTTGTTTTTTTCTGTGTTGTTTACTTTAACTGATATGGTTTCTTTTTGTCTATTACCACTACCTCTTATCAATGCTTATCTTCATTTATCTCACACTTAGCACTGACTTGGTCTATGGTTATGTAAACTGTTTCAGCAGTTAATACTTGGTCATCTGCTAATAATTCTGAGATATTCTTTTCTTCATTCTCAATCTGCAGCTAATGTCTTTTTTCTTTTGCCAGGACCTAAACCCACAAGCTTCCAATCCATAGGCAAGTGTCTAGCTGCTACTCCACAGCATCAACAGCACATCTATAACACCTGAACAGTAGAAATCTCATGACATCAAGAATAAATCTCATGTCATCAAGAATAAATCTCGTGACATCAAGAATAAATCTCATGTCAAGTGTAACTTCAAACTTACACTGCCAGCGACTCCTTGTAGTCACCATCCAGAGGGTGGCTGAGGTAGAGGTGAAAAATCAAGCCCTCTTTCAGCCGCAAACGAGTGACATCCTGCAGGCATCTCTCAAATATTGAGGGCTGGGTCTTGGAGAAGCAGTAGATGATTTCTTGTGCCAGATACCTGAAGCAAACAACAGGCAAACAAACAAATGTCAAACAAAATAAAGTTTAGAAATAAGGTGTGGTTGACAGTTACGTTGGGCCTTTTTTGGGCCTACTAACATCAAGAGGGGGCAGCGTTAGTGCAGTCAATAGGAGACTCACTTTCAAATCCAGCTGAGACTCGCTGCAGTCGGAGGAGGGTGTTTGAAACCAGGCAGTTTCCGGGGTTCATCCAGCCTCTAAGGGAGAGATAGTTAAAACTGGGGTAAATGGAGGAATGTCGCTGTAGCTATGGAGTTGCGTGCGGACGCCAACACAGGCGGACAGTTTCTTTTCAGCTGTCCGTGCTGGTGGCAGAGCACTTATGGTTTACAACCATGTGCAATGACACTGGTTCACATCTCCCAACTTAACCTTTACCAATATCAAGAGATCTAACAGAAATGTAATGGCTAGGATATACAATGATGTGACTCGACTTACAACCTGCTCTACATACACGCTTTTCAATATACAGATTTATTTCATTAACCTATTCTGGCCTCTATATACAAACCTAGATTCAAGAAGAACTGATGTGGTGCGCATGTTACTATATCGCATTTATCTAGAATATGATGCAACAAGTGGTGAGTGTGAGATGCATGCTGCATGTATATCTGCTTCTTTGTGTATTTCAGCATTTGTATAATCAATATCAGTTTATATACTTGCAGGAGGTGGGTTTTTTAATATATTCAGTTTATATACTTGCAGGAAGTATAATAGGCGATTCTAATACTTATTTAGAAATTGTATATCATTTCTAACATGGGGCCAAAGAAAACAAAGAAAAGGAAATCACAATAAAAGTCAGAAAGAGATTGTGGAAAAAGAATTCAATCTGTTAAACTTGATTTGTGCAAGCAGTATAACTTGACCAAGTCCAATAAAGATATAATTCTAAAGAAAAGTAGATTTTTTATAAGGAACTGGATGTGGCCGAAGCAGGACCTGTAGTGTCATGTCAAAGAAATAATCATGGAAGAAATAGAAACGTTACTACTCATCTGGATTAATGACATTCAACTTAAAGCAGACAGTATCTTAAAATATCTGTTTAAAAGCTCAAGTTATTAACAAAGATCTATTGCAGATCTTACAATCCACTGCCTGTAGCTAAGACAACAGTGAAGAGTTTTGAGCGAGCAAAGGTTGGTTTGAGAACTTCAAGAACAGAACCGGCATCACGTGTTGTTAGGACATGGAGAAGTTTCTAGTGCTGACCAAAACAAAAAAAAAAGTGAAAAATTTCATCAAGGAATTTAAGAAAGTGATGACGTAGAAGAGTTACAGGCCAGAACAAAGTTTCCTCACAGTGTACTGTTTAGGACAACAAAGAGTGAATAAAACTTTGATGCTGCTCACCGTTTAAAAGCTCGCCTCGCTGTTGTCAGACAAGAACTGTCGATGAGACATTGTCCATCCAGGGTCAGGGACTCCACAGCGATAGTATTGTTACCAGTTCCAAACGCAACTAGTTTTCCAGCACCTTGAAATCCTTAGTGACAAAACAACAGTTAAACACAGTGAAGTTAACAGAAATCATCTGGTCTTGTGATACCATATCCTACAAACATACCAAAATTAGGGATGGAGAAAGAATACGAAGTAGATCAAGAACAAGACAAAGACAAACTCTATAACAGCATAATGATTCTACGGCCGAGGCAGCCTGAGGAGCAAGAAGCAGAATCTGTTATCTCCCTCGACAACCAGAATGGTGAACAGAAAGTGGGGAAGAAGAAAAATAAATCACTAACTATTGGCATCAATAGAGACTGCAAGGGTTTGGGTACGGATAATAGAGGGGGCCAGATAAAAACAAAAACTGCATTTACACAAGAACTGAACTGGAGTAGACTTTGAAGACCAAGAAGACAGTGGAGAGATAAAATACAAGCAGACATGCAGACATTTGGAGTTGACTGAAAAGAAAAAGAAAAAAAAAAAAACAAGAAAAGAAAGGAAAGTAAACAAAAAAAACCAAAAAAAAACCGAAGAGAATATGTAGTTGCCCTATTCAACGCAACATGTGGGTTCAGCTTATGTCCAAGTGTATCAAAGCAGCATACAGTGTGTTACGATTTTGTAATGCTTGGCCTGGGTATGCTAAAGAAATCTGGACAAATATTTTAAATACAGCATAGTACCTTTGAAAGTTAGGCTCATGATTTTTTTTAACTGCGACAGCTCCCAAAAACAGGGACAAGACCCGTACCTTGCAAGTGCTTGTGGACAGCAAAAATGGCAGCAATGTGGTGCTCATAGGAAGCAAAGTCCACCGGAAGTGACTGCAGACTGGTATCCAACGCTTCATATGCTCCTTCCTCTCGCAATAACGCCATGTTGGGGTCAGGGATTCTAGATCCCACCCCATCTGACCCCGCTTGGTAGGTAAACAGAGGCGTGGTGCTTGCAGCTGCACCTGTCGGCTCCTGCAATATATAAATTGTTATGCAGAGAAAGAAACAAAAATGAAACATGCATAAATACAGTAGTATAGCAATGCTAAAGACATCCAGTGGGGTTAGATTAATACAAAACCAGCAGTGGTTCTCAACTGGTTGACATTTGTGGATTCCATTTATTTTATAAGGTCCACCACAGACCCCGTACTTTTTAATAGTTATATTAGAGAGAACTTAATATAATTTACAATATCTGAATCACAAAAAAGACTGCGTTGTAAATCTGGGTGTTTTGTTGTAAATCTTCATTCATTCGTTTGACATAGATGATCTATACCTGCAATGTTGCCCTAGTATGAACTTCACTGTCTGTCATTTCCTCAGCGAGCCGTAAAGTCTAGCTTCCACTGGTGTTCTCTGAGCCAGAAATTCTCCCTTGATAGGTTGCATATGGGACAGTCAAGAGGACGTGATCTGTTTTTGTAAATGATATTACTTCACCAATCTTACCCCCGTGTGGGATCCCGGGGCCCTATTGTAGGGAAAACAAGAATAGACCCACTGCCTCCCCAAAAGCATGTCGTAAAGAGTCGACTAACTGGGGAGCTTCCTTTGAAGTTGGAGTGCATCTGCCGGAGAGGCAAGGAACCAGCAGTCTGCATTCAATTGAATCAGATCTGTAGAACTGATGCACACGCAACACTCAGGTTCTGGAGCAGGACTGCAATCCAGAAGTGGACGAACAACCAGAACTTTACGCCAGAGTGTACAGCTGGTGAACACGAAGAAGAAGAACTTCACCAATCTGAGCCCTTGAGGTTCATTATTGCAGACACCACCCGCCTCCATTTATCCACGTGACAGGTTATCTTTCCAGAAAACACAAACGGCTTACATTTGTTCCACAGACCAAAAAATGGGAAATTTTGACCATCCAGCAGCATTACTTTTCATCTTCCTCTGCTTATGACAGGGAGCCTCAGTGGTGTAGTGGCTAGACACTCGCCTGTGGATCTGAAGGTAATCATGACAGAGCCGGACCTTTTTCAAAAATGATCCTGGCTCCCATCCTGACCAAGCCTTAAGTAGGTAACAGATAAAGTCTCGGGAAGTAAAGGGGCCAGCTGGATGTTGACCATATCACCCACCAAATGCTGATTGGTCTGTAAAATATAGATCAAGCCCTATATGCCCAATACTCTTAAAGGTGTGGAAAAGAATCTTTTAGTTAACTGCTTCTGATATGAGAGTTCTTTCCCTTTTCTCCTTGCCAGTGCCACTGTTATCCAATGAACAGGCAGTTTCTGACAAAGTCGTCAAAGCATTTACATAGCGTTCTGAAGGACGTGGGTTAGTTTTATTGATCAACCCAAACTTAGTCTGAGATTTCTAGGAGGGAGAGGGCAATGAGGAAAGTAACTGGCATTTCCATGTGACATTCTGTAATCTTTATAAAATGCGGTTACAACATGAAAAAGGCAGGGAACCGCTGCTGTGAAGTGACCAAAGGTTTGATCCCACATGGTTTAGCCTCTGCACAATAGCTAGCTGCTACCTATAGAGAACTCTGTACAAAGTAACATTTCACAACTCAGCAACAATCTTCAGAGATGTGTGTACAAATTTCTCTTAAAAACTAAACAACAGGCCGAGGTAATAACTGACTTTCAGAGTATAAGAAAAGGTTTTGATGTGCGAAGGCCTTTGATACTTTACATCCCAACAGGGGTATTCACCCTTTGTATGTCAGGAACAGAAAGGATCCCTTCTATGTGTTCACTAGCTGTAAACTCCAGCAAAGGAAAGTCCTTGCTGTTCATCCACTTGTGGATTTTGTTCCAGGACTTCGAGGTGTGTTTACATGTTTTCCAGCTCTAGCATATTTGTCTGCAAACTTAGTTCCTGACCTCTTTGGCAGCTGCACTCCGACTACAAATTAAATACTGAACGTATCTACCCTGACATATTGGACTAGGATGATCAGGAAAAAGTGTAGAGACTGGTATTTACCCAACGAGCTCTAGGGCACCCCCCCCCCCCCCCACCATACCCAAAGAAGAAGACAACAGCAACCACATGTGTTTACATACAAGCACATCATAGTTGAGTACTGTTGGAAAAACTGCACCCAGAGCACGCAGTGCTGCTGTATGGGCACCGACAACCGCCTCCTCTCTACTGAAGCTTCTCACGACAAATGGATCCAGGCAGGTCACTGTCACGGTACAAACATGCTTCCTGGAATAAAAATAGAGATCTGCCATTTTGCTGAAGGAAATAAAGAGGTGTAATATTTCAATCACATTAAAAGACATTCTTATACAAAACCACACTAGAGGTAAATGCTGAAAGTGAGCAAGAGGTACACAGAAAAAACAAGTGGGAGAATAACAGAAATGAACAAAACTTTTCGGTGTCATCATTCATCACTGGCACCTTTCCGTCTTTCCAGATGATAGTGCTATACTGTGCTATGAGGAAGCATGGAACTCACAGCCCGTGGTGATGGCGAGTGTGACTAGCAAGACTTTCCAGACGATGTGCTATATTGTGCTATGAGGAAACATGGGACTCACAGCTCGTGGTGATGGTGAGTGACTGTTTAGGGTGTTTCTTCTCAGAGGGATGAAGTTTCTCCTCTCCATAGCACAAAGCCTGGGCAGTATTGTAGGGACGATATGTAGCCCATGCCTGGTTTACTCTTAAGGAAAGGTAAAACCAGAATGTTACCTGAACAAAGCAGGCTGCAGAAACTGCCAGATCAGAAGAGTAGTCCTCTGTCTACCTGACACAGCTTCCCTCCTAGACCAGTATTGTAGGGACGATATGTAGCCCATGCCTGGTTTACTCTTAAGGAAAGGTAAAACCAGAATGTTACCTGAACAAAGCAGGCTGCAGAAACTGCCAGATCAGAAGAGTAGTCCTCTGTCTACCTGCCACAGCTTCCCTCCTAGACCAGCTGCCAGTCAAGGCAAAGGACCTGGTCTGCCTTGCCATAACAGTTTTCAGGTTGCATTTCCTCTTAAGATTCAGCCAGGACAAAAGAGACAGCCTGTTGGAGATCCACTTTTTTTTTTTTTACAAAAAAGTGGATAAAGTATACAAGCAGAGCATATTTCCACACTTGGAATATGGGTCAACTGTATGGTGTTCAGCATCTAGTACCACATTAAAGGAGTTGGACAAAGTGCAAAATCAAGCGCTCAGAGTCATCACAGGAGGGATGAAATCAACCCCCATATTAGAAATGGAGAAAGCTGGGAAAACACAGGCACTGAGAGAATGCAGAGATACAAAGTTGCAAATACAAGCTGAAAAGTTCCTCAGTATGCCAAATCACCCGATGGAAAATAGATTTAAGAACCTAGCCTTGGGACGGTTAAAAAGAAGCAGCTTTATACACCAAGCAAAAAGAATATGTAGACAAACTCCTGACCTTCCAGAAATTGGTTGACCACTTAAAAGTATTCCGGAACAAACCCCATGGAGAGAAAAATGCAAACTAACAGTACAAATCTAGACAAATGTGAAAGGGATATTTGACAAGAAAGAGCAAGATAGTGTACAACACAGAATGGCCACCCTCAGTTATATTGATGAATACCCACAAGAACAATGGGTCAGAGTCTATACAGATGGGTCAGCAGAAAGTGCAGTTAGAATTGGTGGTGCTGAAGTGTACATCGAATTCCCAGATGGTACTAGGGATAAGTTAGCGTACCAGCCGGGAAGTACTGCCATAACTATGAAGCAGAAACTCAAGCTATCAAGATAGCAACAGAGAAACTGCCAAACACCAAACTTGGCTCACAGTATGAGGTAATGCTGACAGATGCTAAATCAGTACTCGAAGCACTCCAGTCTAGGAACTACCAGAATTGCAAACACTGCTGACACAACTCAGCCTTCAGCGAAGAGTCGTAATGCAGTGGATACCGTCTCATTGTGGAGTGCCTGGAAATGAGAAAGCTGATCAACTGGCAGGGGAAGGTGCAACAAAAGAGCAGCCGGATTTACCAGTCACATACCACCAAAAGAAAAGAATAATTAAATCGATCAAGAAACCACCAGGCCCAGCACAAGACGACTATTTTATTATGGACAAACCTGAACAAGTCATTATCCTCCGCCTCAGAACCGGGCACAACCGATTATGTAACCACATGTACACAAAATTCAAGATAGGTGTATCAGCCATGTGCACCTGTGGAAATGTGCCCCAGACAGCAGAACATGTACTCCAGGACTGCACCGAATTTGACAAATTAAGGCAAACCTTTTGGCCAGAAAGAACAACAGTGGAACGTAAACTGAATGAACTAAAAACGACAGTGAAATTTATACAAGAGACAAAACTTATTTCAGGCGAACGAAAGAAGGAGATCCACAGCAGCTAACCATCACTGTGGAGATGGCACCTGACTGGTTGGGTTGGTTGTTTGACTGCACTCAGTGTATACTCTGGTAGAAACTCCTAGCTATTCATCCACTTCAACTTCTGCTTTGTGCCAGGACCTGAGTTTTGCAGGTATATCTGCTTTACTGGTATAACTGAGTAATATGTTGTTCCTTGGCTCTCATTTACTACGATTTAAAGAAGATGTTCTAATCTCTAGGATAACTAGGCACTGTTTCACAGGACATGTCACAGCCTCAACTGTTTGGTGATCTCTTCATCCCTTTCTTCTGCAGGCGTCGCTCCTAAAGGATCCATCCAGGGTAGCCCCACTCAGACTGGTCAGCCTTCGAGGGAAAGCATGAGCTGAACATGGGCATTCCACACAATCCAAGGAGGCTTCCATAAATGCAAAGCTGGTCCTGGGATCACTTAAGGGCTCCTCACATCCTGCACATGACTGCTTAAACTTACATCCACATGTTGAGCTTTCCACTCATCACAGACTGTCCTTTAGAGATGAACAGGAACCAGTCCGTAGATCAGAAGCTGTGATGTCTACCCAGATTACCAATATCTTTCTCAGCATGTTAGAAATCAAAAACTTGAGACATTTATCAAGATAGTATAGGAAAAGCATGCAGCTGGTAAGCATCCCCCTCATGGTCCCAACACTCTGGCTAGTGGGATCAACAGTAGCACTCAATGTTTCCAGTCCAGAAATGGAGCACCTCAGAGATCCCAGTCCAGAAATGGAGCACCTCAGAAAGCTCCCAGTCCAGAAATGGAGCACATCAGAGAGATCCCAGTCAAGAAATGGAGCACCTCAGAGATCCCAGTCCAGAAATGGAGCACCTCAGAAAGCTCCTAGTCCAGAAATGGAGCACCTCAGAGAGATCCCAGTCAAGAAATGGAGCACCTCAGAGATCCCAGGCAAGAAATGGAGCACCTCAGAAATCCCAGTCCAAGAAATGAAGCACCTCAGAAATCTCAGTCCAGTAAAGAAGCACCTCGGAGAGCTCCTAGTCTGACCAACACTCCAAAGATCACCATCCCTCTCAATTGATGGGATGCTCTCAAGTACCAATACAGCACACCCTCTACTTCCTGAGCTAGGAGGGAGCAAAGATTTTTGCAATAGTCCCTATGGAGATGGCGACTTTGATACCAGCATCACCCTGATAGAATAAAGACTTTTATAGGGATTAGTTTAGTCCGGCTCTCTAGCGTAGTTGGCTAAACCGGATTGTGCGGAGACCGGGTGACGAACACCTCGTGGTCCGGGTTCAATCCCGGGGGTAGGCAGGAAAGCCACATTCTCCCAGATTTACAGTATTTACAATGGAATCAAGGCCGAAAGGTTGCGATATCCATAATAAAGAGCCTTAGGGTTAACAACTCATGGCTTCTGGACACTAAAACAAACAAACATAGGGATAAGTAGCACTGAATGCCAAAGCAGTGGACTTGACAGAGCTCAAGGCTTTTAAAAAAACTACCCCAACCCAACTATTTGCCTGCAACAAACCATTTAGTTAACCAACCAGCCAACAAACTAACCATCAGCTAACTAAACCAACCAGCCAACAAACTAACCATCAGCTAACTAAACCAACCAGCCAACAAACCACCAGCTTACTTAACCAACCAGCCAACAAACCACCAGCTTAATCAACCAAACAACCAACCATCAGCTAGCTAAACCAACCAACCCAAACAATACAACTAGCCAACCAACCAATCATCCAAATCAACCAGCCAGCCAACCAATCAAATAACCATCCAACCAATCCAACTAACCAACCAGTCAGTCAAGCAACTATCAGCAACCAGCCAACCCATATCTAGTTGAGATAAGCAGAAGCAGCAAATCTGTTACTGAAAACAGTCACCCAGATCAACTCTTACCCTTCATCATCTTTGCTCATCATCTTGTCGTAGACAAGGTTCTTCTGCTCACACACATCAGACACAAACCTGACCTCCTCAAATCGAAAATCATCTAATTCAGGCGTTGGAGTCTCTGAAAAGGTTAGAAAATATTCCTTTGATATATTTCTTTCTATTTAAACCTGGATGCATAATTCTTTTTCTTTTTTTTTGTCATCTTACTGACAGCAGGCTGTAGCCCAGTGACGTGGTTTTGTCGTCTCACTGATAGCAGGCTGTAGCCCAGTGTCGTGGTTTTCTGTATTTGTCTTGTGCTTTATAGGTGGCTTAAGTGATGGATTTGTATTCTGTTTGCAAGTTATCCATAACTACTTTAATGTATTTCTTTCTATTCAACCCTGGCATGCAAAGTTACCCCAGTCTAATGTATTTCTTCAGCTCTACCCTAGGAGGCAAATTCTTCCTACTTTAGCCTGAGCTGCAAAAGGTATCTAAGTCTAATCCAACATCACTGCAGACCGGCTGCTCCATAAGTGCTCCATTACTGTGCCAGTGGAAATCACACAAAACTGTCCATGATCCCATTCAAAAATGTGAAACTTAGTCCAAATTAAATCTTGAGACCTGCACACAAAGGCAGCTTTCAAATTTGCCAACACTAGTTGTCTCACACCAAAATTGTAGCTCACCCTTTGCACAAATAGTCGGTAATAAAGACGGCAAAAAAGTATATGAACGTCATTAGCCACCTGCAATTTTAGTGCTGTCAACATGCACAACAGAAAAATATATCATGAAATCCACAGCTCAAAGTGTCGCACCAAGCATTCACCTCACTAGGTGGGCGATGGAACTTGTGGACTTCCTTCCAGTCAAGAAATGAGGAATTCTAATCAGCGGTCAGCCGGCTACAAGTGATTTCAGCTGGCAGTCTCATGTATTTCTAATCTTCCGTAGGATGCAAAAGTATGTTTGTTGTTGCTTATCTATCATGAGTTATGAAGACTACTTTTTATCCAATGTAGTAATGATCAATGATTATGAGTATGACGGTGGCTGATAGTTCAATATGAACCTAGAAAGTTCTTGAGCAGTGCGGACAACAGGTGTAAGCTGCAGTAGGTGTGCGATTAGAGATTCGGTTATTTCTAGTCTGCCTCTGTTTTTCTGCTTGTGCAACCTGCGCTGCCTGGCAGGCTGATGCACCATGCCTGAGAGATGCACACCATCCAGAACAGTCTTGTGCAGCAGCCTCCCATGCTGTGTTGATCCTAAAACAAGTTTTTTGAGAGCATCCTTATAGCACTTTTTCTATCCTCCCTAGGACCTCTTCCCTTGCTGGAGCTTGCCATAAGAAAATGTTTGGGAGGCAATAGTCTGGCATGCGGGCTAGGTGACCAGCCAAACCCAGCTGATAATTCTTCAGTATCGTGTGGATGCTAGGCAGGTTTGCCCTATCAAGAACCACAGTATTTGGGTACTATCTTACCATTTGATTTTGAGCAGCAGAAGTTTATGAAAGTGAATCAATCTCTTCAATTTGATTCAGTAGCTTAGTCTAATGTATAATGAGCATACTGATAGACTGGCTGCTGCTGCCCCATCGGGCTATAAGCTACTTTACAAAAAAAGGGGGATGTGGTGATGGTTCAATGGGATCAAGTGGCCAGTGAAAGTAACATGAGTACCCATACCCTGAAAGTATAGTTCATGGGGTTTTATTGGGGGGGGGGGGGGGGGGGGGGGGGGGGGGGGAGAATGGGGTAGATGGGAAGGTGTTCAGAATGATATTTAATGCTAAGGGGAAAAACAGGCAGACTATTATTGAGGTTGCCACTGGCACTGTTGGCATGTCGACTTTTCACTGGCTACTGAGGAAGAAGATGGAGCAAGCCTGAAAATGTACGGAGTTCAATGTTTATTCTCGATTCTTTCAGTTAACGTATGTCTTTTACCATAGGGTTTAAAGTTACCTTAGTCTCAAGTATTTCTTCCACTTCCGTGCCCTGATAAAAAGTTTATCGTATTCTAATCTATTTCTCCCTCTTCTAACCCAGGGATAAAAAGTTTCCTTAGTCTAATGTATTTCTTCCTCTTCTAACCCAGGGATAAAAAGTTTCCAGAGTCTAATGTATTTCTTCCTTTTCTAACCCAGGGATAAAAAGTTTCCTTAGTCTAATGTATTTCTTCCTCTTCTAACCCAGGGATAAAAAGTTTCCTTAGTCTAATGTATTTCTTCCTTTTCTAACCCAGGGATAAAAAGTTTCCTTAGTCTAATGTATTTCTTCCTCTTCTAACCCAGGGATAAAAAGTTTCCTTAGTCTAATGTATTTCTTCCTTTTCTAACCCAGGGATAAAAAGTTTCCAGAGTCTAATGTATTTCTTCCTTTTCTAACCCAGGGATAAAAAGTTTCCTTAGTCTAATGTATTTCTTCCTTTTCTAAACCAGGGATAAAAAGTTTCCTTAGTCTAATGTATTTCTTCCTTTTCTAACCCAGGGATAAAAAGTTTCCAGAGTCTAATCTATTTCTTCCTCTTCTAACCTTGAATAAAAAACTGCACAGGATGCTATTCTACTCTTGTCTATCATGTTAATTCAGTCTTCTTTCACTTCCCTTCCATATTTGTATTTCTCTCTCTCTCTCTCCATGTGGGTTATGGTGCCCACAGTGGGGGAGGGGAGAGGAGAGGAACAGACCCACTGCAAAACTAACGAGCATACTGTTAAGGTTTTTTTTTTTTTAGGTGTGTTTACTTCAAAGTCAGAGTGCATCTACTGAGAGGCAAGGAACCAACAGTCTGCATATAAATAAGCTAGATCTGTAAAGTGGAACAAGTCATCAAAGTCCAGAGGTGGACAAACAACCAGAACGTACTGAAGGAGTTCAAATCCTGTGAGTGTGAAAAAGATGCAGCAGCAATTTTATCTTTATCCAAACCTTCAGTGTTTTAAATAAATACTTGACATCCCTGTTAAGTTAACCTTGTACATTCTTGCACATACATTAAGAATATCAAAAGCACGTACTTGGTTCGTAGGTATCCAGACCACAGAGAACCCTTAGGGCCAGTCTGCTAGCTTCATTCTTGGCATCTTTCTTTGTGGAGGCAACACCTTGTGGGTAAGCTAGGCCGTCCACCACAGCCCGAAACCCAAAGCTGTCATTGCAGATATGAGAAAAACAAACAAAATAAACACTACATATTAACAGCATTCATCGGCTGTACATTCTAGAAGAATGTTCCGGTTGTTTGTCATTTTGGACTTTAGTCTTGCTCAAGAATTTGAGTTTTGCGTGCACATGTTTTCAGATCTGGCTTATTTGTACGTAGTCTGTAGGTTTTTGCCTCTCAGGCAGACATGCATTGCCTTCGATGGAAATGTCCCTAATTAGTCAAATTCTATGAGCATGCGTGTTGGGGGGGGGGGGGGGGAAGTAGGTTTATTCTTTTCCCCCAAAAATGATTCGCTGGAGTAGGTTTATTCTTTTCCCCCAAAAATGATTCGCTGGAACACACATCGGGAACCATGCATAAAACAGCAAAGATCAAATCGATGACGCTCCTGGGCTAGCCCTCAGCAAAATGGTCACCAGACATGATGGGGAACACATGGGTGTGTCCCATATGTTGCTAAATCAATTCTTCTTGTTCTTTGCATTCACTGGCTGTAACCTCTGGCAGGAAGTTTCAGCTGTCTAACCACATTTGCACTTTCATCTTGCTTCAGAACTTGAGCTCTGAGTGCAAAACTGTTTGACATATCTGGCTTTTTTAAAAGTAGATTGTTGGTTTCTAGTCTTTCAGGAAGATGCACTCTGACTTTGAAGGAAGCCTCCTAATTAGTCGTCTTTTGCGACATGCTTAAGGAAAAGAGGGGGGGGGGGCAAATTTATCCCCATGTGTGCTTAGTCCTCCAATACAGCAGCCACCGCAAAACATTTACTGACTGTTGGCATGAAGGGTTGATTAACCTACTCTTCAAGAGGACAGCTACATGCTTCATCAGATTGTATGCTTACTGTCACCCAGCCCCATGCTTCCGGGCTGATCACTGTTGCAAACACTCAACAGTTGGAGGCATCCAGGTCAAATAAACCCAAAAAGAGCATCTCTTGGGTGATACTGGTGACAAAATACTAAACCCAGTACCAGGGTAAACCCCGCAAAAGAAAAAAGAAAAAAACTAACAGACTTAACTTTTAAACGGTCACAGCATGCAGGCCACCTTATATTCAACAGGATCACAGCAGGTCCATTTTCTCTCTCTCTCTCTCTCTCTTCCCCTCCCCTTCCACACACACAGCCAGTGGGGCCCTGGAACCCCCACAGGAATGTTAGCCCTCTAAACCAATGCACACAGGTATACTTGTAAAATCATGAAAAGCTGAGTCCAGGATTGAGCTCTGACAATCTGCCGCAGTGGAAAATTGCAGTTATAAGTTAAACAGGTCCTATCTCTCCAATGAAGACTGGCTGCAATGGATCTCTGACTCTCATGACTGTACACCCCCTTAGACTAACTGTGTGTCTTATCTCTTGATGTGTCAAGAGTGAAGAGCCCTGAATGACTTTGCCACAATGCAGACTACAGTCAACTCTCTCCATTAGCTGGAGTAATCCTGGACTATGCAGTTCAAGAAGCCATAATACCACTGGCAAGCCATAATTACCAACCAAGTAGACAAACTTAACTGATAAGATACCATAATTACCTACCAAGTAGTCAAACTTAACTGACAAGATACCATAATTACCTACCAAGTAGTCAAACTGACAAGCCATAATTACCTACCAAGTAGTCAAACTTAACTGACAAGATACCATAATTACCTACCAAGTAGTCAAACTTAACTGACAAGATACCATAATTACCTACCAAGTAGTCAAACTTAACTGACAAGATACCATAATTACCTACCAAGTAGTAAAACTTAAGTGACAAGATTCCATAATTACCTACCAAGTAGTAAAACTTAACTGACAAGATACTATAATTACCTACCAAGTAGTCAAACTTGACAAGATACCATAATTACCTACCAAGGAGTCGAACTGACAAGATACCATAATTACCTACCAAGTAGTCAAACTGACAAGATACCATAATTACCTATCAAGTAGTCAAACTGACAAGATACCATAATTATCTACCAAGTAGTCAAACTGACAAGATACCATAATTATCTACCAAGAAGTCAAGTCAAACTTAACTGACAAGATACTATAATTACAACTTAACTGACAAAATACCATAATTATTTACCAAGTAGTCAAACTGACAAGATACCATAATTATCTACCAAGTAGTCAAGTCAAACTTAACTGACAAGATACCATAATTACCTACCATGTAGTCAAACTTAACTGACAAGATACTATAATTACCTACCAAGTAGTCAAACTCAACTGACAAGATACTATAATTACCTACCAAGTAGTCAAACTGAGATAAAACCGGCTGTCACCCAAAAATAATAAATGATGGAGACTTGACGGAAATTAAATGGAGGATGGCCATATCAATGCAAAGATTGAACAGCCTTAAAAGTCTATGGTTAAGTACCAGCAAGGAGATATAAATTAGAATTTTGAAAGCATGCATCTTCCCTGTGGCTACATACGGATGTCAGTCGTGGACTATCTCTCAGTCCTTAAGAAAGAGAATAGGCACTTTTGAGCTGAAATGCTATAGAAAGATTCTCAGAATATCTTGGACAAAGAAGAGAAGAAATACTGACATCTTGAAAGATCTGAACATCAAGGAAGATTGGCTAATAAACATCCTGTCTCGGAAGCTGAAATATTTTGGTCACATCAAGCGCCACGACGGATTGGAAACAATTATAGCAGAAGGCTTGGTACCAGGAAGGAGGGGCAGGGGCCGACCAACAAGACTATGGGCACAGGATATAGGTGACTCCTTGGGTATGAAAGTACATGAGGCGGGAGAACTGGCGAGAGACCGAGTTTTTTTCAGGCAGACTAATGAGAGCGGCGTTCTGCAAAGGACCTGCTACATGATGAGTCAAACTGACAAGCAGCCATAATTACCTACCAAGTAGTCAAACTGACAAGCAGCCATAATTACCTACCAAGTAGTCGAACTGACAAGCAGCCATAATTACCAGCCAAGCAGCCATAATTACCAGCCAAAGAGTGATAATGGCCAAGAAGTCATAACTACCTGCCAAAAAGCCATATTTACCCTCCAAGATTTGACAACGCTCCAGGTCTCAACTCCACTGCCTCTTGCTTGTATTCTAGTTTGAGCTTCTTCTGAGCGCAGTATTCATGTAAGCACATAGTCGGATTCTTTCGTCCAGAGAGAAAATCTTCAATAACCGCCAATGCTTCTTCCTGTAACAAACAATACATACATTTTCAAACCCTAAAGGTGGAACTACTTGAAAATTTAACAGCTGCCGACCCTTTGTGGGTTCTGCATTCCCATTCTGAGGGGAATTAAAAGATACAATGCCCCCCCCCCCCCCACAAGCATGATGTAAATGATTAATTGGGAATTTGCTGAAATGAGTTGTGCTCAAAGGAGCAGATATTGCAGCCTAGCTGTAAATCAGAACATTTAACCATCCTGTCTTGAAAAGCCGCAAAACCATTTCGGTTAAGGGAAAATGTTCCCATATATGTCAATTTTCCGACTTGTATCTAGTGGTATATGAGACGTATAATAAATGCTATATGCTGTATTCACACCTGTACAAATATTTAGAGGTCAGGATGCAAATATATTAACTAAAAATTACATCTTGTGGAGTTGGGGGAAAAGGGGGGGGGGGGGGGAGCCTTCAAACAAAAAGTTCCTTAAAGCCAGTTGACGTTAAATTTTCCAGTAAGCCTGATTGATAGCATGAGTCACCTGAAACATTTTTAGGCTTCACTGTTCATGTTTACTGATTACTCCCTGTATAAATCTTTATATACTTTGAAAACAAAATGGAAACATGTACATTATTAAACTGTAAACTTTATTAGAGATCTGTATAAAACATTTAAGGATTTTTTTTTGTGTTCCCACGGATCAACATTTTTTTAAAGTGTTAAAAGGGTGAGAAAACTAATTGATAGGATAAGGTCAAGACGTATCATGGAGATCAACAGAATAAAAGTTGGCTACAGATTATTTACAGGACATTTTAATTTGGCTGTGACTTCATTGAGCAATTTTATGTTCAGTTTGCCATTGCTTCTGAATGGCCGGTTCTTGATATCACAAAATTAAGGCAAGGTGGTCTGCTGTCAAATCACCTGCAGCTATTAATGAATCTGGCATCCTGGAATTATGGGATGCATTTGTAATGCCTAAACCATAGATGTCATCAAAGAACAGAACAGAACAAGCTAAAACTGTTTCATAATAATACAGAACAACTTATGCAATAAGTCCAAGTCACTGAAGGTTAGAAAAAAAATTTCCCACATACCATACAGTTTCATCATATGAGTGTGAATCCTGGACAATTAATAAACAAGCCAAACAAGTTCTTGAAGCATCTGCAATTTGGTTTTACAGAATAGTCCTTAGAATTTCTTGGACAGTCAAAAGGAGTAACCCAGATGTTTTGAAAGAGGTGAGTGCACCCAGACAACTTATCACAAACAGCAAGAGACAGTTTTTGTGTCATGTTATGAGAAGTTGGAACCTGGAAAATGTGACCACTGGAAAGATCTGAAAAGAGAAGAGGAAGACAGCGTAAGATGATTCTTGACAACCTTTTGTCATGGCATGGAGGGGCATCAACTCATGAACTGATACATGCTGTTGAGGATTCCTGATTGTGGAGAGGTTAGACCACTCATGCCATGATGATGATGGCACGAGATAGCCTGCCTCATGCTCACTTCTGTCGATACGCCAGACAGGTGCAGGCGCAGGCAACATGAGCAATACGCTATGGCTGCCAGCAAATTTGACCTGTTCTAAAGAAACTACCTTTTTGACTTGCTGCTGATCTGGCTCCACAAGGTCATCAGGTCGGGGGTGAAGGCCTGGCACATATGGTTGCTTCTTGGGCGGCATGGTTGGTTCTGGAAGAACAAAATGGACACAAAAATTAGTAGATTAACTCCTATAATACATCTACTGTGGGTTTGAGGAACAGACTGGGAAATATGCATGAACTAGACCTTCATAATAGTAACATTTACATCCTAAAAAGAGGAAGAAAATATGAAATTGTGTTTAAAGCCAAAAAAAAATAGTTGCCTGGACAGCCAAAAGGAGCAACCCAGATGTTTTAATAGAGGCGATGGCTCAAGAAACAATTTATTACAGAGTCACATTGTTTGGTTACGTTAGAAGGAAACCGGAACATGTGACAACTTTAAAGATCTGTGGATAGAGAGACAGAGGATAACAATGCAAAACAAAAAATCTTGACAACCTTCTGTCATGGCATGGAGGAGTGTCAGCACAAGAACGGATACATGCAGTTGCAGATGACAGACTCTGGAGAGGCATGATCACCCACGCCAGTCGGCAAGGTACCTGATGATGAGTATCCATATCAATAATATCATCTTTAACCATTCTTGGTTATTAACGGATATATAATGTTTATTGCTTACACATATAAATGGAATATAAAATTTTATTTTGTTTTCAGCAAAAGGATACATCTATTTGTCCAAATGATACCTGCGCCTTCTGGCACTAGTGCTGCATCAGGCATACAATGTGAGAATATTCTGTATAGACCAGTCAGCACTTGGTGAGTGATGTCATTCACATCAGATTATCATTTTGTGTGCCAATAATGTTTGGGACATACAGAGAGAATGGCAGATAAACACTGCATAGGTAAAAGAGTTTAATGGGGGTACACCATGAAAACAAAAAGAGGGTAAAAAGATCATATCCAGGAAAACCTGAAACAAATAACTGGAGTTACCAGCTGGGGAGAGACAGCCAATCACAGAGATGCATGTGATACCTGCAGCAATGAACGTGCTCAGTGCTGAAGATCAACTTCATTGCACTAGGTTTTGTCAAATCTGGCTGGGGTCTCTCCACAGAATAAACAGCCACCTGCCGTAAGCCTCACACAAAGAACAAACAATATAGCTCTGGTGACAATCACCAGTGGTTTGCGTACATATTTTACCCATGAACTAAACAATGCTTAAGGCAAATGGCTTGACCTCTTCGCCATGGAGATTCCCTTGGAATGCTGAAGAACAACAACATCCTATAAAACAATTTGTTCTACTGATGAACTGTTTTATCTGTCACTATATCTCTACATCTATCCACCGCTGGCATGTTTCCATTCAAAAGTCTTGTTGCAGTAGGTCATAGATTCATTTCGAGTCTCCCCTCTGGTCAAATATTCAGTCAGGGGTCTCCTTAAGAAGGGAGCTTTCTTACATCATCAGCTTCTGGCAGCCCAGTGTGCTGGGCCCAAAGACAACAGATACATATCATGGAGCCCACTGCATTGAGGGACACAGCCACATAATGAACCCTGTGAAGACGAAGCCTTTTTGTAGTTTTAGTGCCAACAAGACAGAGCCCTCAGCAGGGGATTCTCTCAGTTTACACAAGAAATTATAAAAATAGTGTACAGATAGCATATACAATATTTGGCTCTCCTTGCACCTTTGGACGCAAGCTGGACGGCTTAGGTCGGCTTAGTGGGAGTTCTCTCCCTTGGCCGCATTGACAACAAGTAGCGGAAAAAGTCACAAATCAAACAAGACAGTGAGGTCGACATCAGGGCTGCCAATGCTTGGTTGTATTCCCCAGATCTGGTTTTTTCTTGTGACGCTGCGGGGAAATCTGGGTTGTTGTTTTTTTTATTGCCGATCTGTATGCTCTAATGACCGATAATTTGCGTGGTTAGGGGTAGGGTTAGGGGTTAGGGTTGGGGGTAGCGTTAGGGGTAGGGTTAGGGGTAGGTTTAGCATTAGATGTGACAATTTCGACGCTGTAGTTCCCTATAATCGCGCAGTCACATACACACCCAAACAGTCGACGGACGGTGGATGCTACTGACACGGACAATTCGCCACCGATTGGGCACCAGCCGCACGCTATTGCTGTCATATTTGGCACACTTCCAGCGGCGCCACTCCCACAGGCATCAGATTATCACCCACTATTTTGAAGTTCTACGTCACCATTTACACATCTAACCCTACCCCTAACCCACACCCTACAGTTACAGGACTATGACTATGTACATAACGAATCTACTTCAATGAACCAAGGTTAGGGACCATGAAACAAACTCAGACTGAAACAGCAGAAATGGCAAACGCTGTGGCTGAACTTATTAAAATTAACAATGTGAAGTGTTGAGTGTTTGACTTAACTTAAGTCTTAACCTTAAGTTTCAGTGAGTTTTGCAGAGGTTGATGAGAATGAATAACAATAATACAACAAGCGGTTCATTTTCATTTACCTTTTCCGCTGCAACTGGGTGTCAACTGCAGAATGTCTTTGAGTCTGAAAAGGACCACTGCCCCCCTTGGAAGTGCTCCAAACAAGGAAACGTAATTAAACTGACGTGCTGCTCCACAAATCACGAAATCTTGGCTCCAGCGTGAACTGTCGTCAACAACTCAACCGCCATGCTTTAATTGTGAGGGGAATTCCCCTAGTTGTACCGGTGTTCACACACAAATGACATCCAGTACGTCCAACCACGTCGACTTTAGCTATTAAAATAATTACAGGTCGCCACAACGTCCTTTGTTTGTTTATTATCATGGATTTTGTAAATAAAGCATAAACTATTTGTTCTTTCTTACCTACTTTTTCTCTTCCCTATAATTTTCTACCCCTTTTAAAAACAAAATTAAAATAATTATAACTGGGATTTGATTAGCGCGTGTGAAAGGTCACGCATTATTAAATAAACGGCCAGTCAGATTGTTGTTTGGGGGGGGGGGGGGGGGGGGGGGGGGGGATGAACTATACTTGAACTTAAAACAGGTATAAAACATTGTGTTAACTGTGGTTTGATCCAAATGGTGATATAGCATACAGAAGTAGCAGGGCGAAAAAATATAGGGGGTGGGGGTAGGGGTTTGGCGAAATTATTATTTGAAAAGTTAGTCACTTTCCATGATACAAAAGGAATCCTTTCTGGTGTTTTATTTCATAGTTGCTGATCACTTGTAGATGGTTTTAGAGGGTTGGTGTGCCCGGCTCTCTAGCGTAGTTGGCTAAACCGGATTACGCGGTGAGCGGGTGACGAACTCCTTGTGGTCCGGGTTAATTCCCGGGGGTGGGCAGAAAAGCCACATTTCTCCCAGATTTACGGTATTTACAATGGAATCAAGGCGGAAAGGTTGCGATATCCATAATACCGAGCCTAAGGGTTAACAACTCATGGCTTCTGGATACTAAAACAAGAGGGTTGGCGTCACTAGCTTCTGTTGACACCCAGTGTTCCAAAGTGCTCCGGTGTTGACTGGTTTTTGAGCAACTATAAGATAAAGAAAACAACAACAACAAACAAAAATGGGGGGGGGGGGGGGGGGGGCACTAAGATACTTCTTATTCTTCTGCCTTCTGTCACCCGATGGAGCAAATATCCTCAATCAACCAACTAGCGCCAAGTCGTTCTATCCATCGCTATAGCATGCAGCTGCTCGGCCTATATACTCCCCATCTGTGTAACTTCACTCTCTTAACCCCTCCCCCCCCCCCCCCCAAAAAAAAAGATAAAACACCTCTTTTGTCTGCCTTTTTTTCTATACCCATGTGGGTTTCAGTGCAAAGTCTGTGATACTGGGAGCTGCAAGTATCTTTTTCAAATACCCCTCCTAGGATTACACCCCGAAAGATAGGTCAATGACTAAAAGAGATACGATTCGGATGAGAATCCAAGAGGGACAAATCCAGTAAATTCCATTCAAATGTATAATAGTTATACGAGGAGCTGTAGTCTAGTCTGGGCGGATGGTGCAACCAACAAGCTGCTGATATTCATTATCTCCAGTGGCTAGAGAACAAGATGCATACACACGTTGTAATTGTAGCAGGCTCTGAAGGCATGCTGAGAAAGATAAAGACATGAATGCTTCAAGCAGAGTGGCAACCTTCACTGGGAAGGTCACGGGTAGTAAGCATACTTTGGATCTTTTCTCCAGGCCATGCCGGCGTAGTGGGTCATGAAAAGGTGGACACATTGGCTGGATCTGCACCACTGGGTGGTGAATTAATACATGGCAAGGCAGATGTAGTCAAGGCCCTTTAGGAACAAGCAAAAGGAATCAGCAGAGAAACATGATTATTATGACCTGGAGAGAATGAGGCATAAGAGTGAAACCAGAGGGTCTAAACCGCTTATTTCACTCACAGGAATGGCAAGACGGACATATAACCAGATTGTGACCGATACCATCAGTATTGGAACTCTGCGCTGGCTGCTGAAGATGAAGACGGAGCACGCATGGGAATGTCCCGAGTGCTGTGATGTCAATTCTTGACTAAATTCAACTCAACTCAACTCAAAACCACAGTGGGTGACTTGGTATGGTACTGTGCTGTAATACTGCAAGATTAACTTTTTCATGGCAGCCTCGTGGTGTAGCGACTAGATGCTCGCCTGCGGTTTGGAAGGTCGTGGGGTCAGGTCGTGACAGAGCCGGACTTCGTCAAAAATGACTTTAGCTCCTGATTGCCTGACTCTTTATCTCACCGAGACATTACACAAGCGATAAACACCGGTGACACAAAGTGCCACCATGCATATGAGGATCACCCGTGGATAGATCCCATAAACTCTCTTCAGCCGTTGGGCCATATCTATGGCTGGGCCATATCTATGTCCCGGTTAAATTCAGGGCCCCTGAAAGAAGCCAGGGTGGGGCTTGAAATAACAAAATATTGCATCCTACATGGGGATGACAAGATGCCTGAGCTCCTTGGTCGACCCTGCCTTAAACAGGTGCCAGGTGAAGTCCCGGGACGTAAAACGGCCGGTGAGATTTTGACATGACCCACCAAATGCCGATTGGTCTATAAAATACAGGTCTAGCCCTATATGCCCAATACGTCTGAAGGTGTGG